GCAAGGAAGCTCCAGGATGGGGATTTCCCAAAATTAGGAATACATTTTAAGGATCCCAATAGTAAGGACTATATTATTTGGGGGGTCTATATTGGGGCCCCCTTATTTTGGGAAACTACCATATGGGGATTAGGTGACTGCGCTCAGGATTCTTGGGGTCCATGCCGATACACAGTACGAAGATCTCTGCTGAGACGTTTCGTGATGCTGTCGGCTTCGTAGCATCCACCTACCAAAAACTGGGTTGCTGTTAAGGAACTTAAATTAAGTTACCATAATGGGTATATATAGTAATTAATAGGCTTCCCCAAATATAGTAACTTAGTTTAAGTTCCTTAACAGCAACCCAGAAAATGCCGAAATGACACTGCGACGGGCTCGCACCCATCTTGTGTGCCTTGTTGAACAGCTGGTTGAAGACCCATAGCAGGGAGTTGTAGTCGGCCGACCGAAAGACCTGCCAGTCCCCGTCACAATTGTCCTTTGAGCTTTGTACCCTTCGCGTGGAAAGACTGCACCTTCGTCACAAAGGTGCCGCCGGCTTTCAGGAAATCGCCTCCGAAGGCTGTCAAGCAACACATTAGGGTTTAGGGTTTAGGGTTTAGGGTTTAGGGTCAGCTCGGCTGTACAGCCCAGGGCCCCCGACAGGCAAGCTTCAGCGAATGCAAAGTGAGCCTCGGCGACCCAAAGCCGTTCATACTAACAGTCTTCATGACACCAATCATACTGACGGCAAGATTGGGTCATGCCAAACCCTAAACCCTAAACCTTAAACCCTAAACCCTAAATCGTAGTTTCAATCTGATTTTCCATTATCCCAATATACCCCAGTATCAGTCATGCTGAAGCGGGGGGTTAGCTGCCGAGGTCGGCTGAGCCAGTGACTCCGCTTGGCTGAAAGCGTCCTTCGACCACGTGCTGCCTTGCTCGAGATGGTGGTGTAGTTTCCCAAAATAGGGGGGACCCCATTATAGACCCCAATCTACTATAATCCTGAATAGGGGAACCTCCAAAAAGCTAAGCCTAACTGTGGGAAACTCCAAAGCGCGAAGAGAAGCTTGAAGTTCAGCGTTAAAAGCTATGCTTTTTCTGAATAAGTGGATGACTTGATGGCAACAAAGCCAGGACGTGAAGAAACCCTAGCCACTTCCTGGGGCGAATACTGGAGCTAAGTCGGGAATAATGGAATATAACCGCTATATAATCCCTATATAATCCCTACATGATGCCTATATAATCCCTGCATAATCCCTATATAATCCCTACAGAATCCCTATATAATCCCTGCATATGTAATCCCTACAGAATCCCCATATAATCCCTGTATACTACATATTCCCTTCTTCTGTCTTGCTAGGCCCCAGGCCTACGTTGGGCGCACCATCGTGGAGCACCGCGTCTGCGCGGGCGCCCTTCAGCTCCTTGCGGATGAGGCTACGGCACCTGGCCGGGTTCAGGGTTCAGGGTTCAGGGTTTGGGGTTTAGGGTTTAGGGTCTAGGGTTTAGGGTTTAGGGTTTTAGGGTGTAGGGTTTAGGTCTNNAGGGTTTAGGGTTTGGGATAATATTCGGGGTTATGTTGGGATAATACAAGGGAAAACACCTGTCCAGAGCAAGGGCCTTTGCCATGTCAGGCAACATTAATTCAGATAGGAACAGTAACAGTGCTCATATTTTTGACAAT